AGGACAGCCAAGGCTACACAGAGAAACCTTGTCTCAAAACAAACAAAACAAGTGACTTATGACAACCTACCACAGACTAGAGAGGCAGACTCAGAATAATTGAGAGCAACCAGAACCACCACCAAGACCAACAGTGCAGGGGTGGCCCACCCACAATGGGCAGGGCCCTCCCCTCACTAATGACTAATTAAGAAAATGCCCTACAGGCTTGCCCACAGCCTGATCCTGCAGAGACATTTTTTTTTTTTTCTCATTTGAAGCTCCCTCCTCTCCAATGACTCTAGCTTATGTCAACCTGGCATAAATCATGATATCATTTTCCACAAATCAGCTAGTAGAATCTGCCCTTCTGGTTTATCAACTTACAAAAAGAAGTTGATATTTGTCCTGCCCAGAGAAGAAATTACCTAAATGATGGCCTTCCCGGGAAGGCTGCTAAGCACATTTATTGAGGTTTTAGGTTCCAGCTGTTGTAATGGTAAAATGTTATTGTAGAATCTTATTATCCCAACCTTTGGAATTAAACAACACAAAGATTGTTTGACAATTCCAAACTATTAGGGATCCAGGTATTCTCTGTACCATTGTTGTCTTTAAGGCAAAGCTCCCAACTTTGGGCTCAAGTTCTCGCCATCATGTTTCTTCTACATCAGTAAGAAAGGGATTTGGTCAGTGGATTATTTGTCTATACTTTCTGTGAGCACACACGAGGAGAACACATTGCTTATCTCATCCCTTTAAACAGAATTCAGCAGATAGCTATCTCGGCTGCTAGGTATCTTATTCTCTCTCCCAATAACCAATTAAAACTCCCACAATGGGAGAATGGTGAGCAGACATGGTATGGCCTCCACAGTATCTCTGCCATATTGACCCAGTATATTTACCTGAGTCTTTGCACACTCCTGTCATTCTTAGGAAATAGCTGGCCTCGAGTTTCATAGAGTTACTCTACTCTGATCTCTTGAAGTTGTCTGCCACAACCCACTACTGGACTTCCTTGAAATTCTTCCTTTCCATCCTCCTACACTTTACACTTCTTCTTCCTAGTAATAGTACTGTCTGAGCTATGTCCTCATACTTTCATACTTTCCTTAAATGTGACTGTTTCCCTGAGGTCTACCATCCAAGTCTTTTGTTTCCTCTCTACTGTCCTCTCCTTTCTGGAAAGACATCCACTTCTTTTTCTCCTTCTGTTATCTCTCATCATTTGTCATGGTTTCTCTGCAATTTCTCTGTATTCCCCAGTGGGTGCTAGATTTTCCACCTGAACATTTTGTCAAAGGCTCATATGTCCTAAACCAGATTGCAGTCAGTGTCCTGGATCTTTTCCCTTTCTCTAACTTGTTATTATCTCCTAAATGATGTTTTAAGAATTTCATTCTTTCTGAACCCTTCTCCCCACCTCGTTTCCCAGACAAACAATATAACATGTCTGTTTTAATTCTAGACATTTCTGTACCCACACCCTCCTGAGTCATTCCTAAACCATTGCCCTGATGCTTATTCCACATTCCAATCCCTGCAGGTCTAGACCACACCTACAGGCTTTACTCCCTTCTCATTACATTTCAGACCTACAGACTACTCCCTTCTCATCATATTTCAGACCTACAGACTATGCTAACATCAGGTATCAAGGGACAATTTTGAGGAAAGATTTGGAAAAGCATAGTAAGATCCAGGCCAATTGTGATTTGGCTCTCAGAGAAAGAACTTTAACTTTTTAACCTCTACTATTTTCCAGATGCATTATCATATACACCATCCAACAAAATGAACAGCTGGGTCAATTGAACACCTAGACATACCAAACATGGTGCCAACAATTTACTCTTATTTTAATTTCATAATCAAAAAGAAGATAAATGGTCTTCTTTTACAGATTAAAATTTTTAAATGAAGAGACTGAGGCTTTCCAAAATTATTTTACTCTGGGGGCTCGAGAGATGAATCAACAGCTGAAAACAATTGTGTGCTGTTGCCTGGAGGAACCAAGTTCAAGTCCCAGCATCCATGTCAGGTAGCTCACAACCACCTGTAACTCTAGATCCAGGCAACTCAGCTCCTTTTTCTTAACATTTTGAACACTTACACACACACACTTAAAATCAAAGTAAGTCTTTAAAAATAATTTACTCAGAGTCTGACACTGTTTAATGATAGAGCTAAGATTCAAGCCAGTTGCTTTCCAGAACATCCCCTCATAAGCATTAACGTCAAGGAAATAGAAAGTCACTGATACTATCACCATTTGACAAACTGAGCAAGGAAGTAGCCTTCACAAGGTTACAGCCACAATTCAATCTCAAGTCTGCTAAAGCCCGTGTTTTCTTCTACATTATACAACTTCCTATTCACACCCATAAGATTCTGTTTCATCTGTAAGTGATCAAGAGGAACTGATGAAAGAGGAACTGGTCATCAAGCAGGACAAGATACGTTGGCACTTGTGTGTATGGCCAAGCTTTTTAGAATATCTAAGTACTTAGAATATTAGCTAAAACTCTGGGCTTCCTCTAAAAAGACAGAGGTATTCACAGGCTATGCTCGACACCCCAGCATTAGCTTTAAAGGAGAGGGGGACCTTCAAGGGGGGTATGGAATGGATCATCCTTTAGGAAAGAGGTTTATCAACATCCTTGACGCTATAGGCCAGAGATTCAATGAAAGCTTCAGCCCAGCCAGGAAAGCAAAACATTTTTTTAAGGTCTCCTATGAGGGAGTAGGGAAAGGGAAGGTTGTGTCATGAAGAAGTGGGTACCAGGTCAACTGGAATCATGAGATCATATTAACAGCTATATTCATACAGACTGCACTGGAGTAGATGGTTTGGAAAGCCTCATGATCATTTCAGCATAAGGAGTACCTGGAAATTTTTGCACAACCATGGATTTATTTACTATGTGACCTCATCAGTCAGGGGGAGCTGAGGTTGTTCTTGTCCTGTATTTAGTAAGACCCATCTACCCTGAAAGACATCTCTTCAGAAGGTATAGAGTCCATGCCTATGTGATATGATATTTAGTAGGTATAAAAATTAAAAAAAAAGAAATCATAAAGATGAATAATAGTAGTTCTTGCCTTTAATCCTAGCACTGAAGAGGCAGAGACAGGTAAATCTCTAAGTTTGAGTCAGCTTGGTCTACAGAGCAAGTTCCAAAACAGTTAGGGATACACAGAGAAACCCTGTCTCAAAAAAAATTTTTTAAAGGCATCATAGGTTTTGAAACATGAGATAAATGACAAAAAGAAGTCTTAATAAATTTAGTTCAGAGAGACAGAGTTATAACCCATAAAGGCAGGAGGATGAGATGCCACCAATACCATGAGAAACCAAAGCCAGTGTTGTTGGTTATAAAAGATGTGCTTTATTATTAGAGTACAGGGAAAACACATTCAAGGACATTGACATGACACTGGAAGAAAACAGTCTCAGAGAGAAAACACAAATAGAAACCATCTGTTAGTCATGAAGACAAGTTCATTGTTATAGCCCTGGTCAATGTTCTCTCATACTCTAACTAAAGCCTTGACAAAATACGTGATCTTTCCTCCACCTGGGACAGTCCACTTGTCCACATATAATGTATATGTGTGGACACAGTTCGCTGATTCTTATTCCACATTCCTTCACTCCTTGGTGACAACACCAACAGAATCTACTCTAATTAAGACTATGTCAACATCAAGAATCAAGGCACAACTTCAAGGAAACACTTGGAAAAGCATAGTAACATGTAGGCCAATCATGATTCAGTTCTCACTGGAGGAGAATCATCCCATACAATACCTGGCCTTTGCACTAGCACAAACTCAATATTCACTTTCCTTTGGCTAATTTCTTCAAATATGTTAGGTCTTAATTAACAGATTATTGCTGAGGAAACCTACTGGGATATCCTCCCAAACCATACTGAGATGTCATCTCTAGAACTGTGAATCCTAGAGCAATGTAGGCCAGAGTGTACAGTAAGTTTCTATGGACATGTCTGCTTTTTCCTTCACAATCCAACTCACTTATAAAAAGAACAGCTGTGTGACCTCACCACATTCTATCCTCAAGATTTAATGCCAGCCACAAAGTACTAAATACATTTTCCAGTGGAAATTTCAGCTATTTTTCAGCATTGAGGTTCTGCTGGCTTTTCTAAATATATTTCTTAGGGCAAAACTCACTGCTGTTATTTCAAAGAGAGCATAGGCTAGGAGTGTAGGTATGACCACTTCTTATTGTGGTGAGCTCTAAATGGCCATAAATAAAATGTGAAAAGTCGTGTGGCAATGTCAAGAGCTGATGCATGATTTCCCATGTCTGCTTCCCCAGGCCACAGGTCCCCTTCCCTCGGTGATGGAAGTATCCTTTTTAAAGGGGGCTATGTACTGCTGAGTGTCATGCACATGTCATGGATCAGGAAATAAATCTCTAAAGCTGCAAAATTATTTGTTTCTGTTTCACTGATGTTCTTTAAAAAGTTGCACCCTCCGTCTCTTCATTCATGCTACTAGGACTTGCCTTTGTTTCTCAAAGCAGAAAACGCCAAATATTCTCTTTCCCAGCCTCCCTTGCAGCTATGAATGGCAACAGAAGGGAAATGTAAGGGGTATTCTTGTGTTCTTACTAGTTCCCACCTTCCAAAGAAAGATCCCAAACAGCATCTTCCTTTCCCCCTTTACCTCTGCATGCAATTGTACAGAGAGGCATAAGCCAAGGAATTAATATTAATATCAATGTGCTAAGAAAAGTATCAGTGATGTCACTGGGTAGCTAGAACATACCTGAATTAGTTGCTTCAAGAGATATTGCTAGGTGAGATTGCTTACTGTTTGGATTACTGTTGATCAGAAATACCATGTTACTTATAACTGGATTATTTAACTCTTTGCATAGGGAAATACGTGTTTCCGTCTCTGGGATTTTCTCAGTTAGCAAATTCCAAAAGCCAGTTTAAATCAGCAAGTAAGAGTGAATTCCCAGGAACCACAGACATCAAAAAAAATTATGAATAAATCATCCAACAATGGTGATTTTTAATTTAAGAATAAAATCCACAATTTAATACCAGAGAAAGGCAATGGTCTTGCTTATGCTGGAAGAGAAACATAAGACAGCAGGTTGGAAGAGGATCTCCACCGGTCAATTTATTCTTGGTCTTGCTATTCAGAATCAGCTCATAACCTTATAATTAGCTCCCTGCCCAGGGAACCTCTCAGTCATCCAAGAAGCTCACAAATTGCCTGTTATACACACTTTGCCAGCATCGGGCCTCCAGAGGTCAGAAGGGACGGAGAGTGGATGCATTTGGTCTGAGAGGCTGCCTATCTGTCTGCAGAAGTTATTTGTACTACCTGTCCCCACCTCGAATAACATGGAACAATGCCTTCTGACATCTCTTCTTCAGGGAGATCGCCTTACCTCTCCGTGCAAACCACTTTCCCCAAACATTTTGTCCTAGAATAACTCACAAGTTTTTATTCAATATTCTCTTGAACACTGATGTTTTTACAGAACATTCATCAAAAAACATAAAACATAGGCCTGGAAAAGGAATTACTGTATACTTTCTGAAGGAATCACGGAATCCTTGAAATCAGAGCAGGCAAGGCATAACAAGTAAAGCACAGACAGTTGGATATGAGAAACTCTCACCAAACCAGCCAACCACTTTCCACACTCTCTACCCTTCTCCGGAGGTTCCTCCATGCATTTGGCTCCATGAAGCAATTTCCAGAAAGGGACACTCACCAGATCTGTAACTTTAAATGAACCGACTAGATCAGTTACCAAGTGGCATTCCTTTATGCCCAGGTAAGTAACGATGGTTTGATAATGCAGGGACCTGGTTGTTTATTTTACAGACTGCAAAATCCAGAAGCACAGGGGCTAGAAGAGATCAAGTCTAGTGGGAAACTGTTTCTCTGATTTGTTTCCATGCAGGGCTGGGCACACAAACTGCTGGTTATACACCAGCCACCGCAGCACAGTTGCCAATGACAAAGAGGGACTCCCAGGCAGACTTTCTGAAAAGTTTCACTGGGAGAACGGTAGCAGAAAATAAATCCTAGTATTGTTCTGCGTTGTGAGGAATACATTTTATACCTCCTCATTGGTTCTACTATCTTGTTTTGTTTGTTTGTTTGTTTTGTTTTCAAAACATGTAGGTCCTTGAACCTTTATACTTAGTGGGTTGTTCTCATCAAGAGAGATGTTGACAACCCGGCGAGTTCATTCTTCTGCAGTTAACCTCCACAGAAGTATGATCTGGGAAACACTCACCAAAACACACTCCAGGCATTTTTTTTATTCAATCTAACATGTTTATGTAGGTAAGCCATGGGTGGGGGGGATGCAGGTTTACCTCACCGCTATTGTTTTCAGAAATGAAGATTGATTTTTCTCCCAAAATGCTTACTCTTTTACATACCTACAAAAATATGATTTAGGGTTAAGAAATTGACCTTGCTAGTTGACTTGGGTAATTTTAAAATGCTACTAGTACTTTAAACAATTCATGTTAGATTGTCCTATCTCATTCATTAGACTGTCTATATTATAACTTCTAAAGCATGACTTTCAGATTAATATTTAAAAATCGTCTGGGGCCTCTTTTCTCACAAATCAGAATACCCAGCCAGAAGATGTATAATAGAGACTTGAAATTTTGTGGTTTTCAAAGGTCTCCCCATAATTTATATTTCTGGTTGAATATTTTCTCTTTCAAATGAGTCGTCTACCCTATCAATCATCTCAATATGATGTCAGTAACTGTGAAGACCCAGGAATGAGTACAACATTGTGTATATGAATTTAAATAACTATTTAATGATTCAAAGGAACCCTGAGTGAGTAAGTAGCTGGAAAAAGAAGAAACAGATGCATTTAAAACGTTCCCTTTGATGACTGCATTTCCAGCCTTAACACTTTTGTTTTTAAATCTACATTCAAGGCAAAGCTCTGTAGTATGAGGTACATTTGCTTGGTGAAAACATTTAAAAATCATTTAGAAGAAATGTTGGGAAGAAGAGACTTAGGCAGGATAAGGACACTTCAAGGAATACAAGGCTAATCAAAGCACTGCAAGTAACATTCACATAGTTGGATTCTGGAGGCAACTCCAGAAATAATCTGAGCATGAACAATAACCCTGAGCCAGGCAGACCCATTCCAAAGTGACTGATTGGAAGGGCTATGCTCATTGCAGTGCAGGAAAACTGGCATGCTAGTTTGTCTGGGTATGTTTTAGTTGGGCTCATATATGTGTAGTAAAGTTACATGGTACTTTGTAAATGTAACTAGGGGAAAATATATAATAACCTTATTCTAACCTAAAGTGAACTAAACCTCATTTTTCCTCTCTGTAAAATCAAGTATCAATCCAGAGGACTTCTAGAAAGTTCTCTAGTGTTCTCATTCAGTAAGTCTATAAATAAATAGGATAAACATCATTCACATATCTTCAGATACTATCACTATATTTCAGAGATTTCATATTAATGGGAATTACCTCTTGAACAACCACAAAGCTTCAAGGAAAATCATGCTTTAGGATGAAGACCACAGTAGTACGATTTTCAGAGGACCTTCTCTCATATTCTCTTTCTCTCTCCTGTCAGAACGCATGTACATAATCACACAAACACACAAACACATACTTGTCCCATTAGCAAATAAAGTATCTGTTTCCCAAACAGGGACAATTACAAAATATCAAACTGGTAGTTCACATTTGTGTGAAATCACTCTATAATGTACACAGAAAAAAAAGCTGTATTTTTTTCAGTATCTGTCAACTTTTCACTAAGTAGTTACAACTTCAAAAGGAGAAGAAATGCCTTCAAATGCTAGTATGACAGCAGGCTTCAGAAACTCTTGCTTCCGATTGTGTCCAAAATATCTTATTCTGTAGATTCCAGGTTGGGCAGTATGTGGAATATGCCAATGTATTGTTGCGTTGCTCAGACCCAGCATTCCCTTGTGCCAATAAAACCTGTTAATAGAAAACAAACAAGGAAGAAATACAATATTGCTCTTTAAAATGTTTGATTTTCAGCTGGGTGGTAATGGTGTACACGTTTAATCTCAGCACCCAGAAGGCAGAGACAGGCGGATCTTTCTAAATTTGAGACCAGCCTGGTCTACAGAGTGAATTTCAGGACAGCCAAGGCTACACAGTGCAACTGTATCGAAAAAAAAAAAAAAAAAACAAAGAAGAAGAAAACAAAAGAAGCTATAATTACTGACACAGAAAGTACATCTAAAAGCATAACCAACAAAAAAGCAACAAAAGACTGATGAGACCTGATAGTCTAGGGTCAGATGGTAGAGGAGGAGGACCTCCCCTATTAGTGGACTAGGGGAGGGACATAGGGGCGGGAATAGAAAGAGAAGGTGGGTGGGACAGGGAAGGGGGGATGAAGGAGGAAACCACAGCTGGGATACAAAGTGAATAAATTGTAATAGTAGCAGTAATAATGATAATAATTTAAAAGACTACAGGAATACACACCATTCAATAATAACTTTAAATATTAATGGCCATAACTCTCCAAGCACAAGACACAGGCTGGCTGAACATATGAAGAAACAAAATTCATCTTTCTTTTGTCTACAAGAAACTCTTCTTAGCTTTAAAGTTAAAGGACGAAAAAAGTATCTCCAAGCACATGAAACATGGAATTGAGCAAGCATTTTTATCCTAGTGTCTGGAAAAATAGACTTTGAACTAAAACTAACCATAAGAAATAAATAAGGATAGTTAATTCTAATCAAGAAAATAACAAAGCAAAAATATATTACAATCTTAAATATATATGTACCAAATTCTAGTTCACCCAACTAAAAAAATCCTACAATTGAAATTAAATACACACATTAACACCAACCCATTACTAGATGGCAACTTTAATAAACCACTGTCTCCAATAGACAGGCCATCTGTACAAAAATATTCAACAGGAAAACATCAAAATTAAATGACATAATATATCAAATAGACCCAATGAATATCTACAGAATCTTCCATCTAAACACCATAGAATACACACTTTATTCAGCACCCCATAGAAGATCCTCAAAAGCAAACCAAATCTTGGGACACAAAACAAACCTTCACAAATTCATAAAAACTGAAAAAATCACAATGCAATAAAAGTTAAAATAGCAAAAAAAAAAAAAAAAACCTTTAGTAAGTACACAAACTCATGGAGATTGAACAACTCATTGATGATTGATGAAGTGTCAAAGAAGAAAGGAAGGAAAGAAAGAAAGAAAGAAAGAAAGAAAGAAAGAAAGAAAGAAAGAAAGAAAGAAAGAAAGAAAGAA